TGCTGCTTTGTGATAGAAGTGGGCATGCTTATCCTAGTTTTGTGCCACTTCGATGCTCAGGTTGTACGTGCATCAGGAAATGCAGATTCAGGTTCACACTTCAATTGATTTCCAGGGCCGAATGCAGGACTTGAGTCCAGACTGTTCTTTATTCAATAAACTGGGAAACAGGCCCTAAAATGCCACAACATTCATGTCTGTCTGAATACAACAATTTTCCCTATGCAGATAGAATCAGTTCACACTGAAAAGAAAACAGGAACCTGGAAACTGAAATGGATAACCAGGAAAAAGCAAAATGGATTTTATTCCTTCTGTGTGAACCTACTGAGGCCGACAGAGTTCCACCAAGGCATAATTTCAATAAACATAGAGAGGAATCTAGTTCCTTGTAACAAGGTTCAGGCAAATAAGAGGAAAAAAAAGAAATTGACAGGGGAAAAGGAATAGTTTTCTATAGAAAAATGACAGAGCAAAAAGCAAAAGTAAAAAATCTGAATAAAGAGTTAAGAAGTTCTGGTTTATTAAAAAAGCACAACTGTGGAGCAAAAAAAGACCAGCTGGGAACAAAAGAAAAATTAATGAATTCTAAACCGCTGACAAAATGACAGTGAATGATAGAAGCAGGGGGAAAAAAAGAGGAAAGATAGAAGAAATCTGATGAGTAAAATGACCTTACTTCAAGTAACCTTTTGATGGTAGATTATAAACTAGTGCCCAGAACGTAAGGTACTTTTTCCTGTACAAGTTGACTGAGACATTACTAAAGAAGAGTTTCCAGTGAGCTCTGTAAATTTCCCAAGCCCGCAATGCCAACCATGAGGCCCCCCTGCAGTCTCCAGGACAGAGCAGGGCAGAAACACCATGCTTCCTCTGACAGACAATTTCTTGCTGCCTTACTCTGGAGAGGAACATTCACACCTGTTCCAATGACATTCTTCAACAGATTTTTTTTTTTCCCCTGAAGACTCACATTATTTGAATGCGAGAACAATTTGAAGATGAGAATAAACAAGAACTCTGCTTAATATAAAACTTCTAACAGAAATACCAAATGAACCTTTAAGCCACAATTCTAAAACCAGTATTTTTCCAAAACAACTTTTTACCAAAATTTCTGCATTTCAAGAGGATCTGAAGAGGATTTGCTTTTATTCCTGTTGCCATAAGCAAGTCCCAAGAATCCGCTAAACTGTATCATTATGAGCACAAAAGCAGTTATTAGAAGATTTTTGACCCAGCATAACACGAATACAGCTTGCAGACAGCTCCTGAACATCACTGACATCAATGGTAAAATCCCAAGCGACACCAATGGAAGTACATTTCCTCCCCAAAAATGCAAAAAACTACAGACATTTTTCTACCTTCAGCACCTATATTTACTGTAAGATCTCAGTTAAACTGACTAAATTTTCCAAAGAAAGAACATGTATAATTTCAGTTTGGCTGAAGTCAATTGCAGGATATCCAATAGGATTCAGATTTGTTCCTTATAGTTTATAATTAATTGTGTAAGGGCATTTCTTTCACTTATCTTTAAGAGGTTTTCTGTGTGTTTCATTATTTACTTCATGAGGATGCCATCTAAGAATGCCTGAGTATTGCTTAAATATTATAAAATAATTCTGCTCTGCTGTATGTTTGCACAGTGCCTCGCTCAATTAGATCATAATTTCTCATTCTTTTGGCAAGGCTACAAAGGCACTGAAGTATGGGAAATAGTAACAACTCTAAGTTACATCAAGGTACACATACTGTCGACATCAGGTACAACCTAACGATCATTCTCACACAGAATTTACTCACGGTTTTAAGAGGTGGGCATAACAAACAATGGATTTATAACTCTTTAAAGCCAAGTCTTCAAAAATACCATGCTGGGAATCACTTTTGCACAGTGTTATCACTTGCACTGTGCACCATGTGCTGTACAGTCCCATCACCTGAGAAAGGGCTAAAGTTGTTAGTCAAAAATCTACAAATGGATTAATGTTCTACGTTTTGTTCCATGTTTACCGAACAGTTTTTTTCAATTGTATTTTTCCAATGGTTGTGTTTTCTTGCAAAAAATGTTAACAGCTGAAGTGGTCAATTACAGTTTAATTTATTATTACTATGTTTAGTCAGTCAGTTTGGTTTGCTTCTCCCCTCTTCCGAGGAACTGCCCTGTAATGGAAAAAATCATACTTAAAACATTTCTTTATTCTGTACCTCTCAGCCAAGGACTATGGTGGATACGTTGTAAGATATTTTGTGCATACATGCACAGATAGCCACACGTAATCAGGTCCATGAAACATATACAGATAAAATGCGCTCAGGCGCACACATGCAGATTGGTGGTTCTGGACACACTGAAGAGTTTGGCCTATCGTCCTTTCTCAGAAAAAAATGTACATCTAATAGATCAAAAAGGATTTCTCCTGCTAATTCTTACTTCAAAATAAATGAAAGAATTCCTATGCTGAGAGAGGTTTATTCCTCTCCATGGTTTATGTTATGTTTAATTTATGTTATAATTTTAAAAATTGGAATTAATTTAGATATCAGTGACCCATAGGATTTATGTGGTCTTCCTGAGCTTTTTCAACTAACCTTACATTAACATCAATAGAGTTTTATCATGGAAAGACTATGATTTTGCTCCTGCAAAAACACACTCTGAACTAAAATGTTGATTTGTTCCAGATGTGCCACTAGGAAAGCTAAACATAAGCACATGCATAAATATTTTCAGTATTAGGATTTAGGAGCGAATCATTTTTGGAAACTGAACCTCTGAGAAAATACATTAATATACAAAGATTACTTACAACCTGAAAGCTTATTAAAGAAATGCAATACACTGAATTGCTCTGCTCCGCAACGTCACCTTTATACAATGCTACAAGTCCACTGTTAAATTGTTAAAATACCGTTTTTAAAAAAAGACTATTCTTAATCAAATTGCACATGGCTGGGAAACAAAACCCAGAAAATAAAGTTAGTTTAAATCTATGCATTTATAGCATAAGAGGCTTTGGCTTCTTGTGGTTTACCTTTGAAGCATTAAAACACTCCTTAAGTAAAAATATTTTAGGGATTAAAGAAATAATGACCCTTGTTATAAAGTGTTCTTTTTAATTTTTACAGGATTACATTAATAAATCCAAATTACATTATAAAAGATTTAAAAGGGATCCTGTTAATTGTATTTAATTTTCAGGCAGATGAAAGTACATATAAGCACATGTAAAAATCAGGATTTCCCCTAAACTTTTGAAGGAAATGTGTGTTGTGCTGTAAATATCTCCACTTTGTGGAGGTATGAATTCTTTGTCCTAGAAAAGACTTATA